GATTTTGAAAAGATTCTGGGGGGATTTTAGTGCACCCGTTAAATCCTGTATGTCAGTGATCATCAACTGGTGGTTCATGGGCCAAATGAGGCCCGCCAAACCATCCAGTCCAAGTTCCAGGAGAATTCTGGCCCTCCCACAAATCTATCTGGTGACCCCTGCTGTATTTACTGTATGTTTATTAAACTCAACAGGCTTCTGTAGCACTTAAATATTTACTACATTTACAGGTAAACATGCTGTTTTAAAAGTGTTCTTTATCTTTCAGATGAAAAGTGGTGACGTGTGAGAGGTGAGCTAAAAGTACGATAACAGTTTTTTGATTTAGCCCAATTCCATTAATTCCTAAATCCTCTTACTGCTCAGTCCTATAGGTGTGTGCAACCAGAATCTGCAACCAGATTCCATCAATCTGGTGGCATTTGCACATTCAGTCATTAGCTGAAGCTGTAATTGCACATTATTATTTTTATTTTCATACAAACTCAGTCTTGTGCTGTAATTGCACATTATTATTTTTATTTCATACAAACTCAGTCCAAAACATGTTGTCACAAACCAGTGGGAACCGATTAGTATTACGGAATTGATTGATGTGGCGCTTTGGACCAGAGGCAATGTCCTGGGCAAGATCGATTCCCGGTTAGTTGGTACCTTCCAGTGGACTCACCACCCGCAGGAAGGTTTGAGGGGTTGGTACGGTGCAGTGTGATTTGGGTGGCGGTCATGGAGACTGCTGCCCCCGCAACTCGGTAACGGATTAGTAGATGAAAATGGATGGATGGATGGAACATTTGTTCTCTAACAGCTGATTTCAGTTTGAGCTTCTGCCATCACCAAAACCACAACTGAGACACAGAGGCCAAAAAAAGTGTGCCATCCTCTGTATCAACAGACGTTTAATCAACCTCAGAGGTGATTGATGTCCATCCTATCAACTGCCGTCATCATCATCATCGTCAAGTTCTTCCTCACCGCAATGAAACTCACCAAAAATACATCAGCGTGAGGTCAACGGCGTCTTAATTTAGGCTGCTGGAACAAACTCCAGTGATTAATTGGCTTTTGAGTTATCAGACACTCGTCAGGAAGCGAGAGAGGGCCACAAACAGGAAGAAGGGGAATGTGCTTCCTGGTGGCTCGTGGTTGTTACATGGGGCAGATTCCTTGTGCCATCACAAGTGACGCACTGACACACACGCACACACACACACGAGTTGATATGAGGAGTCAGGAATGTTTTTCCAGTGAAATCAGGGAGAAGCAGACGGTGAGGAAACACAAACAGAAAGGGCGAGATAACATGGAGGCCGTGTGTCCTTATGCACTGTGACAAATGAGAGACCACGACGCTGATGCTCAGAAAACAGAGGAGACAGAATGCAAACAATGAAAAGTACCAAAAATTCCCCGTTACTACGCCGTTCTGATGGTGTGTATTTGGCCCAAAGGTACACAATTTGGAACCGAGCGACATCTAGTGGTGATGCTACGTAGCTACATGGTCTGTATCCTGTACTGAAGACTGTTTAAAAACAAAATGAAATGTCTGGTAAAACTTTCATAAATACAGTCTTAGTATTGGTGGCACATGTATTATTTCTGCCAGGTTTATAGCTTTGGGATTTTTAGGAATTATTCCACGTTATTCCAAGTGGCGCTGTCATTGGTGTTGAACCTCACGAATTGAAATGCTATTGAGAACTTAATAACGTCTATTGTTTATCTGTACAAACCACTGTATGAGTTACTGCCGCCTAGTGACTGGAGGCTTGTTATCATTCATGCATTACAGCAGAGGTGCACTTACGTGTCAATTATGCTAATGCTAACGTCAACATTTTTAGCAGTTTGCATGAATGTAATGCAGACAACCAATATAAATTGATGTTTGAACTTCCCAACCACCCTGCAGTATCTCCGTGGTACCACTGGGAGACATAGGCCCTGGTTTGAGACCTCGTTTTTATTCAGGCGTCTTCCTTTGTTAACGTAAATATTCATTCATTTCCCCTAAACTTAACTGTCAACTTAACAGTTATTGAAGTAGTACTTCAATGCTACCCGTGATAAATACATGAATAAGAGTAAAACATGTATCTTAGTAACATAATGCGCATGTACGTACAGTGTGTGCGTTTGTGCGGATGTTGTGGACATTTGTCATCGGAGGTGAGTGAGAACTGACAGACACGAGAGCTGCTGGTCACAGCGAGCCGGCGTATTTATGAAATTAACATTGGCCGTCCTTGTGGACTTCCTGATTGAATCAGACTGGCCAGATGACGTCATGCTGGGTTTTAAGTCATATTTCGGATTAGGCACAGTGAGGGAGTAAGGCAGCGAGAGTATGAGTCACTGCCTCATTGATGATTGTCTCCACTGAGTGGTCAGATAATTCAGGTGCAGAGAAAAAAGACACAGGCACAGCACGACCGCCTAATGGCACTCAAATAAAATGACTTATTGGGAACTTGCAAAATACACCTTTTAGGAAGATTAAATAGTATTGATGCTCTCTCCTCCCCCTCCTCCCGCCCCCCTCTTTTTCTTGCACTAAGCAATGATAAACCCAACCTCAGTGCGTTATATTTATGATCATGAGTTTAAATAACTGATATCACTGCTGCTAAGTGTTAGCTGTTTGAACACTACTGTAAAGAGTTTAGGTTTCAAGGGATTTCTTTAGTCTTAGTGACAATCAGTCTCTTTAGAATCATTCAGTGTGGGATTATTTGAATTGTGGCAGAGCTTTTTCCAGTGGTCACTCTGCCCAGGAGGAAAATTAATTCTGGAAGTTATATATTTCAAAATAAATCGTGTTTTTGTTGAGAAGCTGAATTAAAATTTTTATCAGAGGTGTACAGCTCCATAAACAACTTAGCTCTACACTGAAAATGATATCCTTCTTTTCCTTAGCATTATCACTGTAGTGTGTACATTTTATACTTTAAGGACTGCTCCAACGAGAAGGTATAAAGGAAAATATTACATTTGCTGTTTATTGTGTGTATTATATGCAAAAAACTGCACTAAACTGCAAAAAAATAAATAAATTGTATACATACAGTATGTATAACATACCACGCATGAAAACCTATGATTGAGGCAACTAATACCTTTAGAAACATATATATATATATATATTTATTTATTTTCGCTCTTACTCACACATACATCAAGCTAGTGAAGCCAAACAGGACGTCGTCAGGTTTTTGAAACAGTGATATACCTCCCTCTTGTGGTAGGATTGATGTAAGTAGTAACTTAATAGTGACAGGAGACTCAAACAGTAACAAATGGCAAAACGACGGTTGCTAACATTTTTGGTGATATCTTATCCAAATACAAAAAACAAACAAAAACAAAATAAGTTCCTCTTAATCCAAAACACAATGTCCTGTTTGTATTAGTTAAGTCCTCGGGTGTTCATACATCAAAATGACATGAAATCACATCCCTACTCCTGATGAGTGCTTCTTTTTGCACCCCAATGGGCGTGTGTAAGTCTGACACCTGAAAGTTCAGCACATCAATGTCAGATGCTCCAAACGTGGCCTCCACCTTCACCTTCTCGTGCAGGTTAAAGTAAACCTGCTTGTTTGTCATGGCGAACAGACAGCGCAGGAACTTTTCCCTCAGCACCGAGCGTGCATGCTGCTCCTTCTGCAGCTCCTCAGGGTCCAACTCTGAAGCAGCAGAAGTGGATATGGAGGTGCGACAGAGGGCAATGAAACGGGGTGAATTGGGGTCAAATCCACGACTGTTTGGGTCTGGTCCTTTGGGCAGACGGAGCACAGGCACTGGTGTTGCCATATTAAGACACACTGCGTGGTGTAAAAGAACAAATCAGACATTAGAGATAAGACAATGTAAAAGTTGTAGAATGGTTATACTTATTAATGTCCACCAAAATAATACATTATTTTGGTCTTGGGAACACATAATCCGACAACCGTGGTCGAGATGGATCGACATACAAAAAAGGTAGGTAATACTATAACAATTTTAAGCAAGGTTTCCGTTGGAAAGTTGAGAAGACAAAATAGATAAAATTATGAATAGACAAAATATTCGCTCACTCGAGCACATTTACCAAAAATACTTATCAATAATTATTCGACAAAACTTCGATAAATTATAATCTCAAATCATTGCACATTGTGGGCTGTATTTTTTCATTGTAAAACTAGTTTAATACGAGTTTAACACATTCTGCCGTTTAAATTTGTGTTAGTGACATTTCTTTAATGTTTCTTAAGGACTCCGGGAATTGTATTTTAACACATACCGACTGCGTCCCCGTTTAGCAGCGTAATCCGGTCGTTAGCGTTAGCATGATTGCGGAAGTCGCTCTTCTTCGCGTAGTTTATTGAAGCCAGGGAAATGGCCACTAAATGACGCTATGCTGCCATCTAACGACCAATCTTTCCTTCGCAAACAGCCAGGGGTAGCCTGCACAGCATTGCATGCATAAAGTGAAAGTATTTGCTGCTGCGTTTAGAATGCCCCCTTTTTTTAAAAAAAAAAAAGTGAAAATAAAAATTTTTCAAATACATTCTTTCAATTGTTATTGACACTAATTTCAAGGAAAACGCAAGATGCATTTGGTGCCGAGGCGTGTGTGGCAGGTGGACAGGTTTTTGGGAAAGGAGGGGCTCGACTGACCTTATCTACTCTATAGGGGAGGCTCACATTCACCCAATTTGAAACCCCCTGGATTAAATGTTGCAGTGGAGGCTACGGGGTTAGCTTCGTAGTTCATCAACAATGTCCACTCGCCTAATTCTGTGTTTTGAACGGAAACCTGAATACAGAGAAAACATATTTTATACATCAGGACCACCCTTCCACAAGGTGCCGGTGTTGTACTTACAAGCAGATAGTTAGTCCGCCCTGCATTTGGAATTTGTTGTATGGACCGCCATTGAAGTTTTTTCCTACCTGAATTTTTTTCCTACCCGTAGTGGAAATGTATAGCTTTATCTGACATCTGTGTTCAGGGTGGTAGCACATTATTATACACATCAAATCCCCATAATTACATGCTTATCACTTAGTTCAGGGTGGTAGCACATTAATATAGACATCAAATCATCATAAATACCTACTTATCACTGTGTTCATGGTGGTAGCACATTACTATAGACATCAAATCTCCAAAAACACCTGCTTATCTCTGGGCTTAGGGTGGTGGCACATTATTTGAGGCTACACAGAAAATCCCTGTAAATGTGTGTTCTGTCAGGATTTAGAGTAGCACTTTATTTATTTTCTTTACATTTACATTTGAAAACAGCCTCTGTAAGGAGGGAATGTAAAAATGTTCAGAGGGGGTGTGGTGTCGAAAAAGGTTGCCCAGTGCTCATGTATTCAAATCCCACAGTAAGTCATTGGCCCCACGGTGATTGTACATCTGGGTGGGAGTCGTTGGTGTTACCTGAATGGAAGTGTGAGTCTGTGTGCATTGAATACGGGTCATTTAAAGTATTAAAAATACAAGAAACTAGCATTCATTGCTTTGAGAAAATTTCGCGCCACTTGCCTAACAGAACCCTCCAAGGTTGAAGAGTTCTGTTAGGCAACTAGACGTGACTTTTCTCAAAGATGTTTCGCATCTCATCCAAGAGGCTTCTTCAGTTCTAACTGGTGACGGGTGTACAGCAAGTACAAAATGACATTTATCTCAGCCAATGGCGAGGCGGTGCCCCCGTCGTCCTGCCCTCTAACTCCGAGCATGTCAGTGACACCCTCCCAAGCGCTCCAAGGTGTTAAACTTAGGAGTGTTCTTCCATCTCCCTCTCAGGACTACAATAGAGAAGAACAACAAGATCATTTGGAAAATAATAAATCGGGTTTTTTTTTAATTTGTTGGACTGTCTGTCTCCTGTGAAGGTAAGCTCTTTGTTTTCTCATTTTATTTAACAAAGATTGAACTGTAGAGCAATTGCATGAAGACCAATTGTACCGAGCATCACTCTTGGGAAAAAGACAAGATAATAGCGTAAAGCCCTGCGACAGACCGTCGGACGCTTGCGTACTCTTAAAAACTTTTTTTGGGGAAAATAAAAATTTGCAGCAACTTGTCATACCTCCACACTTGCTCTCAGTCCCCACTTCGATCTCATCCTTCACTCTCTCTGCACCTTTTAGCCCCAGCTTTCCCACGCAATGACATCTTAGGCCTCTCGGAATTACCAATGGAATGTGCTGCTCTTCCCCCGGTTTCATGCGGGTCTTACGTTCACCTCGATTTTTTTTTTTGTTTTTTGTAAAGGGATGGGGCAGTTCAAGTAGGCCCATGAGTACCATTTGCCTCTTTGAAGTAACACGGTAAAAATTGTGGCCCTTAGCCTTTTGACTGGTTGGCCACCCCCGGTGTAGGTTCTCGGTCATCTATAGGTAATTTAATCCAAAAATAGTTACAACGATGTAACTATTTTTGGACGTGAAGAAGTGATCTGGCGTGCGTTTACGATTTGCACCCGTTGAATCTAAAAAAAAGATAAAACAGGCTGTTCTATCAAGTTCAGGGAAATGGCACCCATTTGACTATTGTTTCAACTGTAACTGATTCAAAAAGCACAGTAACAGCACAATTTTGATCGTTTTTTTTAGAACATACCCCACATGAAAAACTAGGACTGATGGTATTGCTTAACATGCCTATTCATCCAGTCCAACTTGTTGTAAAGCCACAGCTAAAATGATTTCACTTTCATGTTCCCATAGCCTTCAACTCCACCCTTCGATCAAATCTGGTGTTGCTCTTCGGTGAGTTACCAAGATGCCTGTGCGGAACTTAGGGGGCATATGGAGTCTTCTACTGGGTAAATCACACACACAAACACACACTTGTGTCAGCAGGTGTGTATGACTAACATGTAAAGATTCCCGCAGTAAGTCGGGTTATCACCAGCTGCACAGTAAGTGTTGGTCTCATGTGTCGTTGCTGCCATTTCACCCTGTGGAGAAGGTGTTCGTTTCCAACAACTAACGGTGGACCATAGACAGTACAGTTTACCATCTGGGAAACGTTTGTCCTGGGGTTGTATTGTTGAAACAAACATGGCTGAATGGTCACTAACTGTATCTTACTATTTTGAAGTTAGCATGACTGCTGATTTGTTGAGTATCGTGTGATTATATATAATCAGTGTGTCATTTTCTGTGCATTTTCTTTCAGTGGGGCTGCCGTACCAAATCAGTCTGTGTGCAGGTGAGCAAAAAAGGGTTGATCCTTAGTGCGTCCTTGTTAATGTTGTGACTCAGAGCCTTCTATCCACAGGCCAATTTTTACAGGAAATTTTGTGCTAAATATAATGAATGTGAACAAAAGAGAAAGGAAATCTGGACACTGATCACTTGTTGATCATCAACTATGTGAATGATGTTCTTTGCAGTTTTTCAAACTGGTAATATTATAACACTGTGTGTCTGTTGACAGAGATCGCTGTGGGCTCACTGCCTAACAAAGTGTGTGACTACCGGTATGTATAGCCAAGGCAGGTGACACTGTTGCACTAGAGTGGCCACGTCCAAACCAACCAAATGCAGTATGAAGTTTGAACATGTTTGAGTGAGACAATGTCGCAGTCATTTAAAGCCAGACTTTTTTTTTAAACCAAGTAACATGCACTTATCTGGACTTTTAGCTCCACAAAACATAAACAAAAACTCTATATTACCAAAGACATAACCGCAACCTAAAAAGTACACACATTCATTCTTAATTCTTCCACATTTAACATAAAATAAGCAGATAAGGCACAACAACATATGACCTGATCTAAAACGAAACATTTTCAAGGTAAAACCAACAACTCATGTGGATTAAAACCATATACTGCAGTAATTTGATCAAACTCAGTGTCATTTGGTTTGCAGATAAAATACTACACACTTTTGGATGTTTGTTGTTGTGTGTGTCATGTGTGAGACTCACGTGCATCGTCGTTCCCCATCAGTCACGACCACGCCCAACAGAAAAGCCGTCCGTATTTACACCAACTGCAGAATGCTGGCTCAGAATCTCCATCCACCGGTCTCATCCAAAATGTGGCGTCTTCTTTTTTCCGCACACTACGCATTGGCGCCTCCATAGCATCAAAACAACTGCGCGCTCTACGATTTCAAACGCGAATTCCAAACGCGTGTGCTATTGCTGCTAGTCAGCAGTTTGATTGACAGACCACTCAGCCTGTCAGCTACCACCGTATCAACAAAGTGGCCTATCATTGTGGCATTTGACTGTACTGATAGTCGTGTCCATAGACAGACAGGCACATAAAATAGTTCAATTAAATAATGTCGAGTGAAAAAGTGGGACAAAATGTTCAATTAGCGTGACGCCGTGATTGACAGACCACTCAGCCTGTCAGCCAGACAAATGCTAAAATTGCTGTGCAATACAAGTTGAAGCGGGGACCGGTGGTCACTCTAGCTGTGACTGATAATCAAGGCCACTCCTTTTGTCATGTGAATGTATTTACTTCAGCAATGCTTTGAGTATAAAGTGCATTAGTCTTTGCCCTGTCTTTGTCGTGGGGCAGACCAACATGGCACTAATGACGTTAATATAGCTCTGCACGTGGGCTCTATGGTTATGTGAAATGACTCCCTATTCACACACTTCCATCCTTTAAATCCAAAAAAAAATGTTTCTTATCACTTAGTAATTTCCCCAATGTTTTAATTTAGTTTAATAATTTATAAGCAAAAGCAGATTCATTCTGATTCCAAGTTTCCTTTGCATGACAAGTATGGGACACTTTCATGTCACCAAGCACATAGAACAAGAAAATATAGGCTTGAATGGACAACAGAAGTGATGAGGTATAACTGTAACCGGAACCGTAAGTTGCTTTTAGTTTTTTTCCCAAAACGACCATTAGGGGGCAGAATTATCAGGGCTCTGAGTGGCTTTCCTTCTGCATGTTGCTTGTTCTCTTACACATTCCATTTATTTAAACTGACTTGTCGCATATGGTTCTATGTCTTTAAGAAAAACCTGTATGGGACTAGAACATGACACCCGCAATGCTGTGTGCTGTGGAAATAGACTTCATCCAGGACAAGGACTGTCATGCTGTGGGAAACAAGCCTTTAACCCCGGTGTTGCCACCTGCTGTGAACACAATCAAGGACACACCTCTACAGGTAGTAACCACACTATATTTGAGTCAAGTCTTCCCAAAGACATTATGAAAGGGGGTGACAAAAAGCATCCCTATTTTGGGTTTGGAATTGGTAGGAATTTAAGGGTCCGTGTTCAATTTGCTGTCGATTGTCACATAAAAAAAAGTACCTATAGGATTTTCTTGCGTTCACGCTTTAATTGTGAACCATGTATTTATATTTGAAATTTGAATATAAAAAAAAAAAAATGCACAAAAAAAACCCAACCCTCTACAGAATCGGTTTTCGCGTTTCTCCTGTGGTGCGTTCTTAGCAGCAGAATATATGTTGAAAAGAAATAGTTCACTACATAAACAAAAGCTAGGTTATTCACTGATAATAACTAGAGATATCAAAACTAAATCTTCAATGAACAGGACCCGGGCTCAGTTCCTTAATAAGGAATCTGGGCATGCCACCTTAAAAAAATCTGAACGGTGCTAGGCCCTCTGGACACCTTTAAGAATCTTTCCAGTGATTGCAGTTGTGTCCCTGTCATTTAGTCATGAAACATCATTGTTTTTGACCATTTCTGAATTGTAACTGAGTTTTCGTCTGTTCCTCAGCACACGTTACATCAGGTCTGAGTAAGGAGGTGTCGGCCTGCTGTGGAGCGACGGCCTACAACCCCCTCAATGAGATGTGCTGCCTCTCGACTGTTCTCACCAGACCTTCACCAAAGGCCAAATGCTGCGGTAAAGGTGAGAAGAGCCGGAGTAAATGTTCTGTGTGCGTGTTTGATTAGCGTGACTCGAACACATTTTCTCGTTTTTACTCAGGTGCGATTGACGAGGAGACGCACCTGTGCTGCGGCCCTAGGAACAACAAGGCGATCTTACAGCGAGACTCCGCTCACCACGTGTGCTGTGGCCACGCTCAGTTCAACCCCAAGACTCACTGCTGCTGCTCCAACCATGACAGTCTGCAGATAAAACACAGCAGTTCACCATGCTGTGTGGGGAACTTGGGTAAAACCTCACACTCTGGCCCACACTGTGGCATTGGCTCTTTCGCAACAGTCAGAAATGTTGAAACATGTGTCATCTGACTTTTGATCAAAGAAGGCCTAACAATAGTGTCTGTCACAGATGGGATAGGGAAGTTGGATCTTGTTGCGCTCAACTCACTTCATACAATCACGAGACACTCCTGTTCACTTTTTCTGTTAAACGTGAGGCTGACGTGTGGGTTTGTTTCCTCTGCAGCTACGAACCCACAACGTCTGAAGACCACTCTGCAAACTCTGTTGGGACCAAATGCCATGAACTCTGTTGCACTTCATCCCACACGTCACACTGTGTCAAAGAGGGGGCCCTGCGGAGGAGGTGAGAACCAGTGCAAATAATAATAATAAAAAAAATAAAAAAAAAACGCTGATGGAGCACCAACGTGCTGCTCATTTCCACAGATTTCGATGCGCGCACGCACCTGTGCTGCGGTGCGTCCGACAACAAGAAGCTCCTGATCAGGAAGTCCGATCACCACCAGTGCTGTGGTCACGACCAGTACGACACCAAGACCCAGTGCTGCTGCTACAAAGACAACGGCATTCTCGTGGTGCATAATTTCACCTCCAGGTGCTGTGGACATGAATCAGGTGTGGCTGCAACACATTCTTTCACATTCTAGGGCTGGAAAAGGTCAAGGCGATACAAAACACAGATATAGTATTGCATCGTTGCGGACGTGTTTTTCGTTGTTTTATCTCTCCATCTGAGTTTCTGTTTCTTGTCCACAGGTGTACTAATGCAGGTAAGCTCCAACAACATCTTCAAAAAGAAGAAGAAGAAGAAAAAAAAAAGTTAATGTGGTTACTGTGGAGATGTTTTATTTTCTCTTGTGCTATGTTCTCATTTCTAGGCACCTCTTTCTCAGCGCATTTGGTAAGTATCTGCGTTACTGTTTGTACAATTTTGTGACAGAAGGGAGCACGGAAAGACATCTAATTTTTTTTTCAAATATATATATATATATATATATATATATAATAAAAAATTATAGAAATGACAAATTTAATCTTCAGTGCAGTGGTGGCTTGGTGGTTAAGGAAACGGACTTGGGTCCGGTGGGTTTCGGGTCTGAGTCCACCTGATTTTGTTTTTCTGTCTCCATAGCACTGAACCAAATACTAGCCTCTGTGGGACAATATGCTACAACCCAAGTCAGCTTAACTGCTGTGAGAGGAAAAACGTCGAGGGGCGGTGGTGCTGTGAGTCAGGTAGGAGCCACAAGGTGTCAAGACACATTTTCAGTCAGCACAGTGGAAGAAAGGGACAATCTTTTGCCTTAAGGCACGGGCCAAAATTGCCTCCCCTGCTTTAGTGACTCGCTCACAGTAATATCATGCTATCAGAGGGCTGAATATTTTGAAGACACAAAGGCCACTGTTTTCAGATTTTGCTCTTCACAGTGGGAAAGAGCCGGAATACCGGGAATAGTAGTAGAGTGTGCAGATAAAAGTCTTTCACATCTAATCTAACTGTCAAGTTTCTTTTTGTATCCAGACGATAAATAAGCTGATAAGTTCAGAAGGTTTTATGTTGGCGTGTGGAGGAAGCAGGGGAGCAGTGGGGAGGGGGACAAAAAGATAATCATCTACAGCTGAGGTAGAAGGTGAATGTGGAGGAACGGACGTTTTCTAACGCCTGAAACAAAGTGGCAAAGGTGAAATGAGGAGATTGCAGCCTCGATTTTTTAAATTTTTATTTGGACAATTTTGATGCAGTATTCGATAGGGGTCTCTGGTGCAGCTCGTTCGGCAGCAGAGTCAGCATGGGCGTTACCACGAGAAACAGGGTCAGTGGAACCATCAGATTTGAGGAAGGCCGCTGTGTCGCCAAAGAGCACCAAAGTCATGCCCCACACAATGCCACAGAGTTAGAGGCGGCATTGACGGCATGTAGAAAACGTCAAACGCCATTCTGTTGGTTGGCCCTCAGGATGAATTTTTTTTTCCACTGGAAAAAACTGGAGTCCGAACTGGAGAGTTAGAGCAGGGAACAATGATCCCAGTGTTTTAACAGAGATTCAAAAACTAGGCGGGTGCCACCGATTGCAACATGTCGGAGTGGATTTTGCTTTCGGTTAGGACGAAAATGTGTATTCTGGTTGACTTGTGACTGGGGCACAGCCACGAATCAGGCCAATGTCATATTCTCCCTTAGGAAATTGCTTATAAGCATCATAGTTAAGGACTTGATAAAGAATTGAATTGAATCAGGATTAAAAGTTCAGAATCGGAATTTAGAGCCGGCTGTGTCATTCCACTTGATTGCATCATTCTGTTTTGCAGTAGTTCCTGATGCATGGCGGCCTGCGCAGCTGTGTCCTTATCTTAATCAAGGAACAGATTCAACAACTTTCCCTGAGTGAATCATCTAAACGTAGCATGTTGTTGTGCAAGTGTGAATGTGTCAGATGACTGTGTGGGTGGTAAGTGCGAGTTACCCTTCCCTGGACCAGGCTACCTCCACATCCCCCATGCTGTCCACTTGTCTTTTGATGGGTACCGTAGAGTTCAGAAATGGACTCAAGATTCAGAAGACATGTGTGTAAGTGTACATCCTCTGACCTCATGGGTTCAGAATATGGTGAAGGGTCAGGAAAAGTTTGAGGGAGGAGATCCCAAATAAGGTATTAAAATCGGTTCCTTGTCATTTAGTGGCTATCGTAAAGTTCAGAATTGGACTGAGGATTGAGAAAACATGTGTGAGAGTGTGCATCCTCTGACCTCACGGGTTCAGGGGATGGTGAAGGTTCAGGAGAAGAGTGAAGAGAGCCTAAATAAAGTAAGGTTTAAAAATCTGCTCCTTTAACAGCGTATAACTTGCACGGTACAACCCAATTTTGTTTTGTCAACCAGATAGCAGTACTCTTTGACATTTCTTCTTTTGCATTTTCATTGATATTTCTAGGATTAAACAGTGTTAACACCCCCAGCCCCAGTGGAAGACAACTGATAGAGACACAGCTCCCCCGTCTCGTGTGTGAACACATACCATCCAAACACCCCAATGACTATACGGCTGCAAAAACCATTCTTGCTGCAAACATGCTGGAGGAGAAGATTGAACCCTTTGCAAATACAAACCTTACTCCCCGACTGCTGTATTTTTTGTGATGAAAGTCTTGATTTAACTTAAACTAAGACACAGCTGTTGGAGTGTGGGGAGGGGGGAGAGGGTGAATAAGGGGGAAGAGGAGAAAAGGTGGGAACGGAGGTTGTGGGTACGACGAGGAGGAGTTGGGTAGTGGGGGTTATGTCCATGTGGTTTTGTCCATGTGGTCAAGGAGTCTCTCTGTCACGACAAGTTGTTTTGGCAAATTTGTCAGAATAGTCATCTTGGAATAAAGAATAAAACAGAGGATGAACGACGTTGTTCGTCTTCAAAGGTTTATTGGAGAATCTATTACGAGTTGTTCTCCATAGTGGTTTTACAGAGAGCAAGCCAAACACTTGTCTATATGAGAAACTTTTGCGGCTGCCAAATTAGAGTCATGCTCATGCTTGTATTTTTGGGAATTTTCTTTTTCTTTTTTTTTCAAGCTGACAGTTGCTCAAGTGCTGGGAAATCGAGCTAATCCTCACATATTTTAACTGTTGACCTTCTCTGGGTTGTTTTTTGTCTCCTGTGGAATGACAATGTGATTAAGAAAAGGAAAAAAACATCATAAAAATCATACGTACTCTAGTGTCATGTCTCATTGTTTCTTCCTCTCTTTTACTTTCTGTTTAGGTGGGTGTGATAGTGGTCCCACCCTGTATGACGCTCAGACCCATGTCTGCTGTGATGGCTGTGTGTCAGAGAGAAAACCATGGACTAATCAAGTAATGTTCCAACAACACCCCTTAACCCCAATTGTTTGTCCACAATAACCAGTTACAGTCACAGTCACAAACATCCTAGAAGTTAGGTCTATTGCATTGTATTTAATAACCAGGACACAATTCTACAGTCTGTCCACTTATCATTGGGCTAATATAGGGATTCCCAAAGGGTGGTGCAGGGACCCCATGCAGGTATGTGAGCTGCCAGTAGGGGGTGTAACTAAGTAAGTTACTGTCTTTGACTGAAGGCTACATTTTCCAGTTCCAAGCCTGGTCAGGTGACTCGATGTGTTAGTGCTATATTTGATGGTATGGAACTATCATCATACTGTATTAGTTACATGTAATTTATGCAATAACATCCACTAACTCTATAAAGCAGGGATTCCCCTGGGGTGCAGAGGGATATTTCCACACAGTGTTCCAAGACACTAAAAAAACAAACATTTTCTTTGGAAAATTTCAAAAGCTGACATTTTAGTGAATACGTGTGAAATGGATTTATTACACATAGAGTGCAATAATTCAATAAATCATTATTTTATGTCGTAACATAATGAGAACCCCAGAAGTTAGAATATTAGAGACTTGTGATGTTACAACATGAGCTGCAAGTTCTGTCCTGAGTCTTTAAGTAGCCTCTCAGTCTGGGCCACAGTCATGGAGAAGACTTCAGCAGACTGAAGAAGTATGAGGCGGGAGGGTGGAGAGCCTCTACAGATAAAGAAATTTACTGGAACCAGAGAGGAATTGTTTCCATGATGTCGGGTGGAGTCCACTGTCACCGTAGCCAGCTACCAGAAACCTGACATTTAGGGATTTTTTTATATTTCTGAGACACTGAATTTGAAGTTTTAATTATCTGTAAGAAATTAATTATCTTCTGAAATTATTGACCAAAAAAAATATTTATTTATATTGCAACATATTGAACATTCCCACAATATTCCACATTTTTTAGCTTCACATCTGTATGTGTGAGCATGATTTTTTTTCCCAAGGTGCGGCCAAAACGTTTGGGAACCGTCGGTTTGATACGCACGCCATAAAAGGCACCGTTTGTAGAGTGTGTGACAAATGACAGCATATGTTTTGGTTGAGGGGATAGATGACTGAAAGCCTTTTTCTAACGTGCCTGTCACATTTGTGCCTGACAAATGAATCTTTTACGTGGCGGCACGGCCTCATTTCCGTGACCGAGGAATTGCAGATGTTCTTAAAAGAACGTCTGTCTGCTTCTCACATCGTGGGAGTTTGAAGCAGACGAGGAGCTCAGTGGTCATAGCTCATAACTCCACCCAATATATATAGATTTTCCTTGGACACAGAGCTCTGGTTTGGTTGGAGGTGTTACGTCTGCACGCTGGTCGTAGAACAACGCTTTAGTCCCGGAATTGCTTTTTTTTTTATTCTACAATTTATAGACTGAAATACTGTAAATCCATGTGGTTTCTTTCTCTTTTTTTAATATAAGTTTGTTTCTGTCTTTATTGCAATAACGTCTTGTACAAGGATGCAGAGGATGGAGAAGAATGTGAGAGCAGTCTCCCTTATAATCCAGCTAAAGGAACTATATGTTGTTCTCAGTTTCACGACTCCCCCGGACAACACTGCTGTGGAACCGACACATACCAGCCTGAAGCTGAAATCTGCTGTGACGGACACAGGTACATTTAAAGTCTGCTGGTGTTTTGGTGCTTGGTGGTTTTTTTTTTTTTCTGTTTACGTTTGTCTTACTCGCAAAATTTGGAATGTAGCAATGTCTGGTATGTTAATGAGGTTTTGACTAGACTTGATATCTGTGGAGGTGGAATCACCCACGTTATTCTGAAACACTTGACATGTCTTGTACTGAGGCTGTTTGTCATTTCTGGAACCTGAAGGTGAGTCAAAATAACTGCAATAAAGACGGGAAAACTGATCTTCTGTAGATAACTGGAACTATAATTTACAACATTAGCTCAAGTTTTCCCCAATCCCATGCTAGACAAGTGGTTGTTAGTGCTCTGGGACAAAAACTGAGGAGATTATCCAAATGGAGGGGTTTCATTCAAAGACACAAGCTTTGTTGACCTTGGTTATTTTAAAAAAAATTCTGATACAATTTTTTTTTTAATATGCCTACCTTATATAACACACTACTCCAATAGCTCCCCGTTGCATGCTACACAAATAGTGTTGTAGAAAAATGCCCTGTAATGGTTATAATAAATGTGTCCCGAAAAGGTGATGGTTAGCCATAGACCAAACAATTTTTTTTTTTTTTTTTAAAAAGTACTCCAACGATACTTGGCTAAGCTTTGCATTGCAAGTAGTCCTTGACTTAAGTTGGAATTCCATTCCTACAGTGCAACATCACTGAATTTTCACCTCACCAAGTCAGAACTCACGCACTCTACATAAGTAGCTGTGTCACTCACCTACGCTAACGCAGCGCTAACATCATAATCTAAGACATGAAATCGTTAAAAGAGTGTGACTTACTTTGGGAGCCATAATGAAGGGCAAAAAAATAAAAAATGAAAGAACGTAAATGTAGCACAATCCGATGTATGGCGTACATGTTGACTACAGTATGTAGAAATGTTGAAATTAGCTGTAGTTAAAAGTTTGTTATGAGGATAAAATTATGGTTTAATAAAAAAAATTTAAAAAATCTCCGCGGTAACAACCCTGACCTTCTACTGATTAATGCAGATTTTTTCATTATAATTATGATCACAGTGTAACTGATAAAAAATGCACTGTAAGTGTTATTAGCATTTTTGACCAGTGTTAGATCCAGAACGCTCATTAGAAATTCTAAAGATTTTCGATTTCACCAACTTCCTTTTTTCATCTAGACATCCGAAAATAAAGAGTGGTCGCTGCTGTGGAATTAAAACCTACAACATTCAGGACCCGGACGTGAAGTGTTGTGAAGGGACACTGCACAACCTTAAGGTCTTGGGCAACGGAGAGGATGACATCCTGTGCTGCGGATCACTTCTACAAACTCCTCAGGTACGGAAAAAAAAATTCAAATGACTCTCATGTCATGTCAATTAGCATACTTGTGTCTGTCTGCGTGGTGTTTTCGTGTTCTTCCTGTGCGTACATGGGTGTTGATCAGCAACTGTTACCCTGGCAATCCTCAAAAAGGATCAATGATTAATGATCAATGATTAGGAAGAGCAACAAATCTGAAAAACTAACACACACACACAAAAAAAGGCCAGCTCCAAATGTAGACAGAGAGAAACAAGTAAGTTCTCAAGTCATATTTTAATTCATGATAGAAATGATCCTGATGAATGGAACATTCTAGTGTTTATTCTGTCTCAGCCATGGAAACAAGCTCAGGCTGGAGTAAAGTATCATTTACATGACCTCATTTATCATGGGAATCCAGGACATCTGCTGCTCCAGTGCGGACAAGGCGGTGCTGTATGCAAACAAGACTGGCCACAGTTGCTGCGGACACCGCTACTACAACCGCTCCCTGTGGTCCTGCTGTGCTGGATCGCTGAAACCGCTGCACCCATCTGGACTGCGCCAGGGCAACGCCCCTGCAGGTCAGTGTTTGTGCTTTGACTTTTTGCTGGTCGTGTTTCAACGGCTGACTGTACTGCATTAAAATGTGTGGAACACTTTTCTTTTCAGGCTCCAGTCTGTCTTCGGTCTTTAATCTTCCCCCAGAAGATCTTTGCAACAAAAGTAAGATATATTTAATTTATGGATTTTTTACGATCTTTGCAACAAAAGTAAGATATATTTTTCCTGGTGTCTTTTGCAAATGCCATATCATTACCGTGATTTCTGGATAATTTATGGATTTTTTACGGGCTATTGACTTTTCTGGCAGGCTACTGTGTCTTATACTAGTAGCGTATGTCTGTGAATGGGAGTGGAGGAGTGTGAGTCAGTTTGAGCCCTGTCATGTTTGGAGCATGAGTTGGTTATACAGGAGCTGTGGACAAGCACAAAGTGAAGGAAGCAGGTCACTAAGTCTCCCCTGTGCATTCCAACTATGGCTGAGGCTCCGAAGCGGGAAAGAGCTAACGTGTAACCAGCCGTGTTACAGGCACGGTTTGGAAAAAAAGCATTTATTTAATTAAAAGTGAAAAAAAAAAAAAAAAATTCTGTGTAAATATCCCATGTTACAACGTGGACACCCACGGCTTATAGAGAGGTGGCCTGTGTATGTACAATTTAGTTTTTTCTTTTTAAATTTTACAATTAAATTTATATAGTCCGGAAATTACGGTATTTAGCGGATCTGTCAAATAAATCCTTTTTTTGTGTCTCTTTCAGTCAGACTTGGGACTGTGGAGAGTGTGTCGCAGCGCAGCATTGTTTTCAGAGACGTTGTGGAAATCAATGGATCGCAGGATTTTGTTAAAGCTCTGCCAACGCCACATGTTCTGGAAACACCTGACACCTGCAACATACCCAGCCTGACGCCTGGAGTGATGTACTACTTTAATGACGTGGAAGTGTTCACGGATTTCCACCAGAACCCTTTAGAGTCTCTCTATTTTATCCTTTTAAAGTGCACACTCTCTACCACCTACGGCTAGTTGTTGATGTGATTCATGTGGTTAAATGTAAATGTTGTATGTGTCTGCTCTCACTGAAACACTCAACTCCACTCAGGGGTGTGACATTCCCAACACTTAAAATAAAGCTTATAAAGCACTTAAAAACCTACCTTCCTCCCTTCTTCCTCTGCACTTCCCCCCTATGATTTCTGTGGCAAAAAAACACACCGATTCACATGTGTTCAAATGGTTGGTGTTGAACAGGAGTCTTCAGCTTTTTACAACATTTGAAAAGGAGGTAGAGTGTTGCTTACCGGGTCGCAGACGCATGTGGAGAAGTGTGGCAAGATAGTGATTGGACTTTGTGGTTTTTGGCATCTGCAGATGTTGGTTTTAGCTTCTACCATCTGCCAGTGATTTCCTCATTACAGTTGAGTGAATGAATGACTCGTCTACTCTGTCCCAGGATTCTGGTTTATTGCTGAGTGCTTGTGTGTTTTGGGATGTCACGTTTCGGATCGTAGTTGGGATTTTTACTCCATTGTTAGTGAATGAATGACTCGTCTACTCTGTCCCAGGATTCTGGTTTATTGCTGAGTGCTTGTGTGTTTTGGGATGTCACGTTTCGGATCGTAGTTGGGATTTTTACTTGCACACGTCGGAATTCCTGCCGGCAGCTCTGCTTCTCGATCCACATCCTTCTGCACATCCCTGTCTCTGACTGTAAAATAAACGGTGGACTTACCCTTTCTCCTGTGTTCTGGTACTGCTGTAATGGCTATTGTACCCTCATAGCATTGCTCACTTGTATTATAGGTAAATAGGTTTGAAATGACCACTCACGCCATACTGCAGTGGTTAGCAGGCCTACCTTGGAAGCAAACTGCAGAGAGTCCTGGGTTCGATACCCACATGCTTGGCGACTGCCAGGAGTAGCCTGTCACAGCACACCTGCTGTTAGTGCAACAGTGACATTTTGACTTGCCTAAACATGCAACAAATGTTAGGCTTGATTTGTTACAGTAGGGATAATCCCGTAATAGACGGATCAGTGGAACTGGAGCTGCAGGGCTCACTTCATGTTTGCAAAGCTTTGTGGCATGTCATAAAAGCAAAGTAAAGACACATTATTGAGCTTGTGATAAGCTGTCTCCATACACGCGTTATTAAAGCCTGCGTTGAAGCCACCTGCAGCCTCGGAAACATCGTTTACGTTGCAGTTAGCAACGGAGGAAATGGGGATTTCGTGAAATTACAAAATAAATATTATGCTGGATTTGTTTAGAATAACAAGGACGAGGCACCTGGATTAACCCAGGATAGCATCTGCCTCACACAGCAACTGCCGGCGGTGACGCCCAAACAAGGGAATATTAGCTAGATAATCTATGTTAGTTGTTTTCTGAGAGCAGGAAGAAGAAAATCTACCAGGAGCCGTGACAGGTGACAATGAAGAAAGATTGCATGTGTTGCTGTCCATCTCTGACCCCCAGCAGAGAAACAGCTCATTTCTATTTGCTGGGTGTGCTTATCGCTCTCTACATGCTGGCTGGAGCTGCCATCTTTTCCTCTCTGGAGAGGCCAGCAGAGATAAGGGCCCACATGCTGTGGGAGAGCAGGCTGACGTACTTCAGCCATGAGCACAAAATCAGCTGCGAGGACCTGAAGAAGCTGCTGCAGTACTATGAAGAAGCCAGAACAGCTGGCATCCGGACGGAAGAGGCCAGGACTCTGTGGGACATGTCAGGAGCGTTCTACTTTGTGGGAACAGTAGTCTCGACTATTGGTGAGTCAAAGCTAAAGGCGCGGACTGGGGGGTTTTCAACCAGCAGCTGTTTATAATTTGAGTTTGATGAACTTGATTTAACATATCCATAAACGTATAATAAACTAGTTTAACTCTGTATATACACTGAAATGGAATTTTAGCACTGCTAACGTCACTTTTAATGTCAAAAACCGAGAGATGAACCCGTGTACACCCAAGGACTATCTCTTGAGGACAAATCCACTTTAGCATGACCAAACACAACAACTGAACTAGGCTCATATTGATTACCATAGCACAACAGCGCAGCCATGTTGATATATTTCAGACGAGTCTTCAGGGAAAACACAGCTGCTGTTCTTGGATCTTAAAATGTTCTCCAGGTGAAGTGGTTTATGGATGATGTACGATCGTTCCCATGTTTTTTCCTACTCCACATTAATGTGTTCCTTCCTTCCTTTTTGTTTTTAATTAAGACAGTCCCTAAAGTATACTTTATATTTAGATTTTTACTTGGTTTCATTGTAAGTGTATTGCACAGGATAAAGGATATGAAAAAATTACTTCGATTCTTTACCCTTCCAATAAAACTCCTGTTTTTATAGAAAAAAAGAAACAGTTTTCTTTGTGTGGCTCACATTCACAAATTGCATGTCTCATTGGATTTCACAATATTAAATAAAGAATGGAATTAAACTTAGAATATTTTCCTAACCAAACATTTAACAAGGGTAGAAAATAGAGGAACATAACAAATATGGACTTTGTGTACAAATAACCTGAGGTTTTTTGGTGGGTAAAATGCTTTTTTTTCTTTTCAATAATACTGAAATTTCATTACGTTATTGTTGATACTTCTTCACGTGCAGTTCAGTACAGAGCACGTGCTTCGAGCCGGTTTGTTGCTATAACAAAGGCGTTATTATAGTTTACATTTACATTCGTGCATTTAGCAGACGCTTTTATCCAAAGCGATTAACTATCAGGTTGCATAGAGGAACTCTTGAAAGTAGACAAGATGTTAGGAGACAAGTGCAGAAGGAGATCGAGGAGGGTAGGGGTAGAGAAGGACAGAAAAGTTCTAGGACTGGAGGTGCTCTGTGAAGAGCTGAGTCTTCAAGAGATTTTCTTGATACGCAGGGTGTAACAACCCGTGAAAAGAGCCTGGATCGTCTTGGGAGAGATCATGAGGGACGATAAATCCTTATCAGAGCACTTAAGCAGCTATAGTTGTTGTTAGAATGATCTTAAGGATTTTCTCTGGCAGGACACCACTGACGACAAGTCACTGATTATTTGGTGCCAAAATTTGTATTCCATGTTATTTGTGATCCTGTGAGAGCCGACAGGAACACAATGTAGGTCCGGAATGTAGTGTTGACTCTAAGAAATTAATTAAGTGTTCTCTGTTATCTGAAACAGTTCCCATCACAGACCTGACGGTCATTCACATCACATCTGCGTCATGTTTATTTTTTGAGCCACTGAGGCAGACCAGACAGGAAGGAAAGGAAGGAAGGAGCATCATTTAAAGTTTCTGACAAACGCACATTTGTTAGTGACATTAAAGGCGAGTCCCTATCCAGACGATGATCTCAGAGAGGAAGCAACATTCTTTACACCGCCCACCAGGAGGCATTTGACATCGCTCGTAAAATGTTTTTTTTTTTTTTTGTGCATGCCTCGCCAAAAACTGACCCATTTTCCAAAATCACAGACAGCAGATTATAATAAATCACCACAATGTGTTCCATTTTTTCCAAATTAGTCCTTTCTCAGATGCAAGATCCCGATGTTCTGGCCTGTTTGACTCATTGGGAGAGTCATCCGGTAGAAGTAATGTTTTATTCTGTTTAACTACAATTATCTTTGATTTATGATTTATGACATGCCATTTAGTTTTTGCTTTCTATTTAAACATGTTTCTCCCAGGGTTCGGAGTAACTGCCCCGTCCACATTGCCAGGGAAGGTCCTGCTTGTGTTCTATGGTCTGCTGGGCTGCTCTGCTACCATCCTTTTCTTCAATCTCTTCCTGGAAAGAGTCATATCGTTGCTGAGCGTCCACGTAGCCTGGTGCTGGAGAAGAAGAAGAGGAGGAGAAGAAGGAGGAGGAGCAGAAAGACACAGTGGACAGGAGAGTGGGGCCGCTGAAAGTCACCGGAGTGAAGAATGGAAACCGTCCGTGTACCAGGTGACCCTCATCCTCTTCGTCGCTGTCCTGGTGGTTGCGTTTGCAGCAGCCTTCCTGTATTCAGCCATGGAGGGCTGGAGTTACACGGAGTCGCTGTATTTCTGCTTCGTGGCCTTTAGCACAGTGGGCTTCGGAGACTTTGTCAGTGGTCAGAGAGCACACCATCAAGATACCGTGGGCTACCAGGTGGCTAACTGCCTCCTGATGCTGTTGGGAGTGTGCTGCACCTACTCCCTCTTCAACGCCATCTCTGTGATCATCAAACAGGGACTGAACTGGATACTGACAGCGCTGTCCTGGACCTGTCAGAGAATCTGCCAACTCCGACAACAAATCAGACCCCATTCAAAACTCCATTCGACTGCCTCACATGAAGCCATATGCCGTCCGGATGACGACTCCCTGGACGGGCAACGGGTGCCAACGGTTTCCACTTCAGGCCAAGGTCTGCTGTGGCAGTCCTGCTCTCCGGGCATGGTTCCTAAATGTATGTGTGATGAAACTGCAGTAGAAACAGTCTGCCATAAAGACAAAGACAGGATAAAACAAGAGGACGATATTAATGAGAACAATGGTCTGTCAGTCAGACAGCTGCCTTCCTGCCTGAATTAATTTAGACCAGGCATGGCCAACCCGCGGCTCGGGAGCCACATGCGGCTCTTTCCCCAGTTTCAGGCGGCTCTTACGTTCACGTCGAATGTTATGTTTGCGTTGTTTTTTACGTTCTGTGAATCATCATGCCAATAGGCGCCGACACAAATTCCACCTCCCTCATTTTGCAGAACAAAGGCCTTTTGTTGAGTGGTTTTAATTTAGATCAAGGTGAGAGAAAATATTCTCCTTCTTGCAGTGACATCTGTGTGTGAGTGAGTCAGCCTTGTGAAAGTACCTGAGGGAAAACACACCCTTCCAAAAAGTAAGTTCAAATGTATTTACAAATGAAAGATCCATAAATTGGAATACGACCAAAATATGTTATTGCTTGTGTGTCTTCCTAGGCCTGACAAATGATTTAATCACGATTAATTGTGATCACCAGAAAAGACCTTCCCAAATACATATGTCTAAAGACAAATAATGGCAGATGGATACCTGTGTTTTCTGTGTCTAACCCAAATGATCCAAATATTCATATGGAAAAATATCAAATAAAATATGAAAGAGAAAAACTCATGGTGGATTTCAGTCAGTGCTGTCCATTTTGAAGGTGGCTTGGAGAACAAGTGGAGCGTTGCTTTCAAACGTTGGTGGAACCCTGGTCCTTACCAATATTAATATGGAAATTAATCTTAAAACGAATACATAAGTCTACAGTCCCTCACAATCCAATTGAGAACTGTGTCATTTTTGTCAACTTACTTACCGACCTCGGTGAGGCTGGTCTGACACAAATGCATGAGGTGATAATTTAAGCTTGAGGTGCTCTGGTGAAATCAAAACCTTTTCTCACAGTGTATGCAAAAAACAAGCAAACCAACAACAACAAAACTGAACGTATGTATTGACCGCATATGAGATCAAAGATAACTGGATGGATGATGGAATTACCACATACAAAGTGCCTACAGTTTATAGGTTTGTAGGTGGCCTGCATCCTGTAAAAAGTTGTGTATTTGTAAAAAAAAATCTATTGGCTTGCCTGGGGAATTTATTTGTTATTATTTATTTATTTGTATGTTTTATGTATGCCTGTGGATATAAATATATTTCTGAGAGAATCTGAGAGATCTGAGTTGACAAAAAGTGCTGGAAACAACTCAATAACTTATGATTGTGCCATTCAAAATTAGACGCTTTGGTTAGTGTTCTAGGAATATGCTGTGTACATGTCAATTTCCCCTCTTTTCCCGGAAACCACTCCTACATCAGCAGTAACACATTTCTGTAACTGACGGCAAACGTAAATATCTTCCTATCACATGTTATTCTTCTTCTATGTACCG